TAATGGGATGAAAAGTGAGGACACAAGAAAAACCTATGAATTGGTAATAATATTCCTTTAATGATGGGGACGAGAAAATGTAAAGTAAAACTGTCCCTGCCCCAGTATAGGTGTTTGTCTGAAATAGCTGTGATTACCTTTCTACTGGCTCAGCTGGAATCACTTTAAAGGTGCAGTATGTACGTTTTTGACTCTACTAAAGCATAACAATACCATAATATGTTTGCAGATATTTAAGAAACATGCTAAGTTAACATACTTGTTTATCTGAAAAACAATGCTACAGTCAGTTATTCTCCTTTGAAAATGTGCGTTCTGGGCCAGAATGTCGGTCTCTGTTTTGGTTTGTGAAACCCGCCCACTGCCAGTTTACCCAATTGTATTTCGGCACCCCGGGTTGCCAGCTGGCGGAAAACATAGCTGTAACAAAGTTCGTAGTTCGGGAAGAAGGAGGCGGGAACCGGCGGACATTTAAACAAAACTTTAATAACAAAATAAACACAAAACAGCGCGACAGCCCCTCGCGGACGACTGTCGCGCACAAACAAAACCAAAACACAAAATAAAGTCCAGGCCTGGTCCTCTCTCGTCTTTCACTGTCGTCACTCCTCCTTTTTATCCTTCCGGAGCTCCTCCGTGAGACTCGAGACCGGTGAGTGGTGCAGGTGTCGCTCATTATCAATTACTCCTCGCTCTTTAATAAAATAAACAAACACAAAATTAAAGTAAAGCGGCAGCCCCTCGCAGACGACTGCCGCACACAAAACACAAAATAAAGTCCAGGCCTGGTCCTCTCTCATCCAACACTGTCGTCACTCCTCCTTTTATCCTTCCGGAGCTCCTCCGTGGGACTCGGGACCGATGAGTGGCGCAGGTGTCGCGCATTAGAAATTACTCCACCGGCCTCGCTCCGTTCCCACGGCTCTCGGCCCCCGTCAAGTGCGCTCGTTCCTGTTGGTGGCGTCAATCTGGCAACCTGCATGTGCGTCACGTCTGAGGAGGAGGGGTCGGGTAAAAAAAACCCTCGCTAATATTTTGAATTTGGACTGCAATACCTAGTTCAACCACTCGGTGCCACTC